TGGTGGTCTTGAGGGGGGGTTCAGTTGGGGCTGCGTTTGTGATCCTGTGTTAAGTGCTCGGTCACTGGTGAAGGCCTTTAGGATTAGACCCCCATCCCTATACCCCCCTCCCCTCAAAAAACTCTCGTAAACAGCCCCCCTCTCTCCCACACACACACACACACCTCCTCTCTGCCTGGATTCCAGCTTTGAGCCCTTGTGAGATTCTCCAGAGCCTCCCACCACCAACTCCTCCTCCACCAGTACTACCAGTACACTTTGCCTGTTCACACACACACACACAAACGCACATGCACACACAAGCACATACACGTCAAGAGACACTCTAACATAACCAATGGCTCACCGTTCCCTTAATATTGCCAGAGTAAAGCGATCCCCTCACACTCGCAACACATTAGTGCTGCTATTAGACCATACCCAGACATAAGGGCTACAGGGTGTGTGTCTGTGAAATCTGCCAAAGTTTTATGCATGCTAGAGGGGGTGACTGTGTGCGTGTTTGTGTTTGCGTCCGGGCATGTGATTTGTGAGGGAGGAAGAGAAAGAGAAGTTAAGTGTGTGTGAGAAAAAAGTCTTGGGTCGATGCTGGTGTGTGTGTGTGTGTGTGTGTGTCTGTGTGTGTCTGTGTGTCTCCGTGTAGCGTTTTTTAAGAGAGAACGTAGAGACACTGAGATCCTGGCATGAGATGAGGGGGAGGAAGGATGGATGAGGTTTGCGAGGTTCTGGCGAGGGTGCACTAGGTGTAAGCTTGAGAAATTTCCATATAGCAGTAAAATATCTGCCACTTCACTTATTGAGTTTCTAATGTGTGCCAGGTGCTTCTCACAAACACCTAGTGAACCATGTCTCTGTGTCTGTGTACTGTATATGTGTACACATTTTTTTTTAAGTCACATTTGGAGCAAACTGCAAACTCCAAACCAGATCAGCCACTGCTTCGGGACAAAATTGGTGTCCACAATTTGGTTTGAAAGCAGTTGCATTCAGGAACAGCTGAAATATCCTCTTGTCCTAGTTGGGGAGATTATAGGGTAAAGGTAAGGGCAATGGTTAGGGTCAGGCATGTTATGGTTATGGGTAATGATTACGGTGAGACTCCAGGAAAAAAGTATCAATGCACCGTCTCCAGAGGATGTGTGTGTTGGTGGGTGTTTTCAGAACTAATCTTGACCCGCTGGACTCAACATAAAACAACACGGCTGTATATACAGTTTTACTACTGCCATTCATAGACGAGAAAACTCTCAACCGTCAAACCGGACCCAGATGACACATACTATAAAATGTAGAAAAATAAACCTCTGAAAGTTATGTAAAAACCCAACCATGGCTACGAAGCACAGAACCGTTGATTTATTAATGTGGACGTTCCAGTCATTGGAAAAAGTGCCCCCCTGGTTTTTACCAAGCCTGTATTTTTGGGTTGACTCACTTATCTTTTACATTGGCAAACAGTTGGGGCTTCAGCAGTTCTCTGAGACTAACCCCTGGAGCTCTTTTGTTTATCATAGACTAAGTATTTTGGTTTCTGATCTTCTGGAAGAAACCTTTAAAAGGTGGAACAGACCCCCGACAAAAATCTGTCAAATCTATGTTTTCTTTTCTTAGCAAAGTTGCTCTAAAGTCTTTGTACCTCATTTCCTTTTAAGAGCAGTCATAAACGTATAGAAGTAACAGAGGTGGCTGTCATGAACTCAGTGTGCTTCTGGTTGCCCTTTAATGGCGACCAGGCAGGAGAGCCGGGGCTTCGGTGGTTTTGGCAACAAACGAGACAGTCTTCTTTGAAGACGCCACAGATCCTCTTACCCAAGTCGCTTCACTTATGAAATAATTTTCCTTTCAAACAGACTATGTCGTTGTGAGTTATACAGGAAGTCTAATAGGAAACTGACAAATTTTGTCAGCGAGACCTACCCCCCAAAATATGTTGACTGGGTATGTGGGAGCTTTTAATACGTTTTTTTTTCTCTGCTGTAGTTTGAGTTTTTGAGCCCATCAAGACCAAAATGATAAAATTATGCATAATAGAAAATACAATGGAAAAACAACAAGAATTTATTTTTTTTTATACAATTGTTTTGACAATTATATAATATACTTATAATATAAACAATATAGTAATATTTTTTTTACTTTGTATATATATAATTTATTTTTGTAAAAACCCAAAAGTTGTCTCACATTCTCTGCATATCAATTTTTTGGAACTTCTAAAGGTATATATTTACTGTAACAGCCTGTATAAAACAGCAGCAAAGCACAGTTAAAAGCAAGGCACTGTTGTTAAAATTACATACAGCTTTCATATTGGCTTCTTAGCTAATCTCTATTCAAAACAAGAACAGTATGGCTTAATATATCCTAAAATGTTCCTCTTTTCATCTTTATAGTCATTCAAAGAAATATACTATGCAAACAGTAAAGAAGTTTTCCGACACAAGGGAACACAAAGTGAAAACATCCCTTTGACGAGTCGGCCTGTAACACAAAGCTGGCAAACTTTGGCAAAGAGTTTCCCTGCCTGTTCCCATTCATAACCAGGAGTCCAAACTGTTATTCATATTTTTCCTCTGTGGTCGATCCAAAGTAATAAGAAAAAAGTTTGGTAAGGGATGGCATGTAGAGCCGTTCTGAAAGGGTTGGAACATTTCGGCCAACTGAACCCAAACGCTCTGAAAGCAGAATCACAAAATAACAACAATCTTTTAGTAGTAAAAATTCTCTTTAACTCACGCTGAAATATTTTGACAATTGAGTCTGTTCTCAATCAAAGTACTGGAAGTATTTATTCCTAATGCAAGTCAACACTTCTGCCTTTTCACATACTAACGTAAAAGGTCAAAAGAAAAAAAATACTATTTCAAATCATTTGAATATAAACGTAAGTAATGAGATGCAATGGAAGATTTGGTGATACAAGACCAACAACTTTGCTGATCACACTGATACTGAAATAAATTACACTAATTAGCCAAATGGAACAAGATTATCTTTTTTTTTAACTATTTATTACCATCCAACTCTGTGATGGTGGCAACACAGACACATAAAACACAGTCACACCACAGAGCGCATGGTTACATCTGTCTGCTTGCACCTCACAGGAAATGGCATCCAATCACCTTTCAACTTTACACTAACAGACCACTCATTTGGCTTCATTTTGACATTTCACAGGTCGAGCTTCCTCCTCACACACTGAAACCATTTCTTCATATATGTGAAGAATAAGTGACAAATTCCAATGTATCAACATAATTGTTATTCTTTGCACACAGATTAAAGTTGAAGCAGCCTGGTAATATACTGCAAATCCCTTCAATGAACTTTGGTACTGATCACTTTATGTGAGGAGCGTAGTTAACTTATTTTCTTATCTCCAAATACAGTAGAGAACACATCAATATTCAACACTATTAATAATGTAGTCAACTCCTGCTATGCATTAGCCCAGTATTAATGCTGGCTGTGCCAAGTTCAGCCTCTAGTAGAACTGCGCCTGTCATCTCTGGCTCTGATACTTGAAATTCATCAGCTGGTTATTTCTAAATTAAACAAAACAAATTGGACACAATATTATACAGCATTAAAGTAAGGGTCCATGTTAATTAAATATCCCCTACATCGGGGTGTGCCTATAACCTGTGTGCTGTAGGCTCTGGTTTTTTTCAGCAGCGCTGTGACTCCCCCACAGATCAGGATTTTATTATCATATTTCCGTCCATTTAAAGCACCATAATGACCCCTGGAACCGTAAAATGCATATTAAGTTAATAAAAAGTTATATAAAGGGGTGCCGTTTGGACTGAAATGTATAATTATTGTCAGATTACTCAACTTGTTTTTACTGCTACTTTGAGAATAGACCGACTGATTATAAAGAAATAATAAAACGACTGTAAAGGAGAGATTGAGGAGAAAAGCTGTAAAAGCTCGTTCGCGAGTCGTGACAAATACCCCTTCTTTCTTCAACACATCCAAAGGAGAGGAAACGAAAATTGCAGGTCTGTAATCCTGCAGGAAAAAAAACACTGCCTGCTCCGTTGTGCCCGACCTGTACCGAGTTAAATGTCTGACTGTGTTATACACAAACCAGCGATTTAAACAACTGCAACTGTTATTTGCTCCGCTCAAGTAGAAGTGTCGCGTCCGGGAAAGTTTGATCAGCTTTGTTACAGAAACGTCGACGCCAGACTCTTGGATTTAATTTTTTTCATCAGTATATCATTAAAGTTTTAGTTTTAAATTTAATATTTTATTCATATTTATCTAAATTTTAATCTAAGTCTAGAATATAAACACATTGAATATTTTGATGTCACCATCATACTCACAGTAAATCTTCTTTTTTTTCAAAATGCTTTGATATTTTTGAATTCACGCAGTTTAAGCAACAACGTGTTTTAATGAAAGCAAAAAGTCAGCAAAAACTTCCTTTCTCTCGTGCACCGAAACGGAGCGACCCGCAGGGAGGCGCTGTGTGTCCATGTCTTTGGAATCGGCTGGGAGTCCCAGGAAGGGAAAGACACGCTGCATAGAAAAAATAAATACATAGACAAAGACCAACTTGACGACTAAGTCATTCATTTATGGCTTGCAATATCCTTGAACAAATTCAACTGAACATGTAATTAAAAAATGTTGCGCGAAATGATTCCACGAATATCCAATAATTCTATTTGTGTCACAGAAAGGTCTTAAATCAAGTGTCTGGAAGAGAAGACCGCCTGGTATGCTATTTTACATGTGCGGAAACAAAGACTGCTCCAGGAAGAAGTAAGAAATGTTCAGAATGCACCCATGTTTTAAAACGGTCAGATTTTATTTTGATAATAAATGTGAAACTAAATGGTTGTCAAGGTAGACATTCTTTTCAATGCAGCTGCTTCAACGGTAACCCCTCCTCCTGGTGCCAACCCCCCCCCCCCCCCCCCCCCTCTCTCTCTCTCTCTCTCTCTCTCTTCCCCCCCACACTCTGCCGTTATTCTCCACGGCCGTGTGCGCTTCATTCCAGTGCACAAGCCGAGCGAAGCAGACTGTCCACCCGCAGCAGCCGAAGCTGATACATTCGCTCAGGGAATAAATATATTTAAAACCGCGCGGCTGTGTCTTTACAGGAATACCACTCGATCGCGGACGCATGTGAGAGTGCACATGCCTGGCTGGGACTGTACACCATGGCTCTGACACAAGTGCGGCTATCTCTGCCTCTGCTCCTCTGACCACAGAGAAAGTCTTTGGATCTCCTCGCGAAGGCGGTTTTTTTTTATTTTTTTCCCCCATTGACTAACAACGAAATATTGTTGGAAATATTCTCCGGATGGTGACCGCGGAGTGGACTACCTGTTTTCAGCTGATTAGCGCAATACGAGGGGAAGGGACTGGCAGACTTGCGCCCGTTGCCTTTCCTCTGGTTTAAGAAGGCACGTTGGAGATCACTGGAAATCGAGAAGGGCTGCTATATTCACACATTTTACACCAAGGGTGTTATTTCCTCCCAACATTCACCTTTACGTGTTTTGGTGAATGGGGGTAACTCTGGTCCTGGAGGCTTGACACCGCTGGGACTGGGACGAGACTGAGTGCGTGGAGCGGGGGATCACCCAGGATTGTGTTTCCCTCCTCTCTCTCGGGTCTGTTTACATGTCCGACCTGACTGCTTTATGACAATGGATTACTTTCTGCTTTTATGCAGCCTCTTGCTGCCAGTGGTGTCCGCTGTAGAAGGTAAGAAATTCCATATTTAGTTGGTGTCGCGTAGCAGGATGCCTAAAGCGCATTTTTCTTTTCTCCATACCAAGTGAGCCAGCACCCATACCCCTCTCATAGGCTGGGCACCGCAGCGGGTGAGGCTCCTGTATTATACCCAAATTATTCGTTTTCTACCATCGCCGAATTTAAACCAACGTTTCATTTTCAAAGTGTCCATCTGTCTTGTTTGAAAGGATCATAATGGCATTATTGGCTTTACGCAGCCAACCGCTGTGGCCGGTACAGGTTTCAATACACAAGTGTAATGCGCGTCAACGAAAGCTCATCCATTCCAATGCTAGTTGTATATTGTGTTTTTCCCTTACATCAGCTATTGCCGACTGCTAGAGCTTTCTTTGTCACTTAAAGGAAATTAGCTCCACACTGTATCTCACCAGGGAGTCGTGGCTCCGTGCCTCCCCCCCAGACACTTTCCCTCAGGTCGGCTGCGTGTATTTTAGGGATGTATGAGTGTGTGGCCTTTTGACATGTTTACTATCAGTTTGAGGTTAAAGTATACGCTCAAAAAAAACCGCCATATTAGTTCATTTTGATACCCAATTCATATAAAAAGCTGATATGATTTTTAAAATTTCAAAAATCACTTTGAAAAGCAAAATGTCATTAAAATAATGTAAATTAAATCAAATTACTGGTATGGATTTATCTCTGTTTTGATTAGATTTTTCGTTTGGTTAATGTTTTTTAGTAAAGCGGCATCGATTGATTATTTACAGTTGCATTTTAAAACAGTTGCTTCCAAAAGCAAAGCCATCTGTTTTAGCTGAGTGCTGGTGTTTGCCGTGCGTAAAATCGATGGGAAATTCAAGCTGTCGTTCTTTCCCCACCAGCGAGGTGTTGCACTCCTTTATTATTCTTTTTCCTACATTATGGGATGTCTCACTTTGCTCTGTTTGGGCAAATGAGGATAAGGAACAGTAGAAATAAGGTTGAAAGGGGCCTGAAGCTTGAACTATGAATGCTGGAGCCCAGGCGAGGCTCCCGGTTGGTTTGCGATGCCAGTAGGAAAGTAGGACAGTGGGCCACTGGCTCAGCAAACGCCTCTCTCTCTCCGCTTGTTTCCCGACCTGTCCGCCCGTCGTACGAGTTTTATTTTCTTAAATAATGTTGAAAGACGTCTGTCATGACGTTAAAATGTATTTTTCAAGGCAAGTTTTACTTTTCCCGACAATAGTCTACTTGACGTCAGTGCTTTCAAATAAAATGTAAACATCAGCTATAGACAGTGAATAGGCAGCATACAGTAGTTCGGCTGAAACGACTAGACATACAGTATATATAGTGTATTGTATATAAGGGAACGATAATGTATTTACCCGAAGGTCGTGTTACTTATTCAACATCCACAAAACTGATTAATTGAAATGAAATGTACGTTTGCATTTGATTCAAGTCTATTCTTCAAATTACTTTTCAGTCTTCTGACCTTAATTTGAGCAAACATCCGGAGGTCTGTTACAGTCTGAGGAAAGATTACACGCTGCTTCTTGAACTATTCGTGATATCGCCATTCCTACTAAATAGCCCCTCTGCTTCCTCTGCTGGGACCATGCGTAAAGAAAACATGCGTACCCATTAGGGAAAATATTGTAAAGCTTATCTGATACGGTTTGTTGTTTTCTTGGCAGGTAACCATCAAATAACAGTTATTGGGGCTCGAAGCAGGCTACGATAAGCGTCCCACTAAGTGATTTCTTCCCTCAAATATCCTATATTTGAACCACAAATCAAACTTGAAGAATTAATTACTGCACTCTGTAGATTGATGGATGACTTCCATTACAATTTTGTAACAGCAACTTCTTTTGAGCAAAATTGTTTTGAAATTGTAGTTCTTTCATTTGCGAGGGACCCCCCTGGACCCTTCTCAGTGACCCAAATAGGTCACCGGACCCCATTTGGGAATCTCTGACTTAAAACACATGGCTTGAATCGATGAGTGGATTCTTGTGCAGAAGTTGGAAGGCTTCAGAGGTAGATTCAGAGAGAGAGAGAGAGAGAGAGAGAGAGAGAGAGAGAGAGAGAGAGAGGTGTTTTCTTGACAATAGTAGCGAGTTGGCTGCGCACGGGCTTGAAGTTGATGTATTTCGTTAGGACAATATATTCCGTACATAAGTGATGCCATAAATTGTACCCGACTGACCTGGCTTGGGGTTTACCAAAGCTTTTAATACAGCTAGGTGATTTATGGCCGCTGCTGGGACTTCTTTGGGTTTATTGCGATTTAAGGAGAAACAAGCGCCCTGGTGGGGAAGTTTCCGCCGGCCCCACCGTGCGTCTCTCTGGGTCCAGGGGTCACACAGCCCGCGGAAATGCTCTTAATGTCTTCATGTTTTCTTTTTTTTTTCTCCCTCCTTTTTCTTTTGGTCCCTTTTTTTCTCCACATCCACCCCTTAAATTGCCATGTAATGGTTGAAGTCAACGCTTTCAATCTTTTACATTTAGTTTACTTTTAATTATTTAATTATGTGCATATTACACCCAGAGCGTCGGCCGTTTCTGAGCTCTCAGTAGCAGCAAACATCAATATCAAACAATGATGTGAATCTGTCCATACACTTTTATGTCATTTAACTTTCACATGGCTTAAATAAAACGTATGTAAAGAATAATCAGTTATTTTGTGCAGGATTTTGTATATTCTTGTGATACTGTTTGTGGATATGTTGTAATTAAATATCCAGGTCGCATCGTAGGTGCATTTGATTTTGGAATGTGTTAATTGTTTGATGATCTAATTCCACTTCAGTTATTTTCATTAGAAAGTGAATTTCATTATGTTTTTGACAAAAAAAAGAAGTAGATCGTTGCAATCCTTTTGAGATCACATTATTCAGTGGACCTCAGAGGGCCTTGGTTGTTGAACGGCTATCAGTGTGCTGGGGAGACAAATTGCGTCGATGACGGTCCTCTATAGCGCACAGGCGGTGTTACTCCTCGGTGTACATTATTTGTGATGGAGGGAGAAAACACAGAAAAAAAAGGCATGAAATAGGCGCTATAATGATATTCCGGCCAGTCAAGCGGACAGTACACCCACTTCGATGCTGTTTATCTGAGTGTATTGTCTTTATGCGGTCAGTTTGTTCAGTTTCTAACCCAGTTCAGGTCTTACAACTGAATCGACTTGTGTTCATTGAAAAAGTTTGAGCGTATTTATTGTGACAAAGGCGTCAACCCCGTTGTGCTTGCACTTCAGCCAACAGCAGTCACCTGGAATCATTTTCTGTCTGAAGTAAGACAAATGGGCTTTTATGGCCCCAGCTCAGCTCAGGGTTCCCCCTCACTCTCCATGTTTTTTTTGTTCTATTGATGGCGGTGCATTTCTTGGAGTGATTACGCACAAGCTGGACCTTTGAAGCGCACATGTTTATGTTTTTATGTGGGTGAGATCACACCTCCACAGGAGCTTTCCTGTGCTTGTTTGCAGTTGGCACATTTCTCATCCAACTCTCTTCCATAATGTATTCTCCCCTGCTCTTTCTTTAGCTTAGGAGGTCCCCTCACCATTATCATTATTTTATCGTTAATATTATCAGACATTGGCAGCGAAGCAGTGGCAAATATATACAGTGACGGCGGGGGGCTTGTAAATGATGATTTAGAGTTATAGTATTCTTACAAAAATACGTAAATGTAAAAATAAAATAAAAAAATATATTCCCACAAATATCAAAGGTGAATAAACCAAAATGTAACTGAGGCGATTTTACGTTATTTTGAAGGACATATAGTAAATGCTCAACTGATGTTTTTTTTCACCCTGTGCCTTTAAAATAAATAGCATTTATAACAGCTTGTTTGATATTTGTTCTATCTGACACTAATACAAAGTGCAAAATCAAACGTGGGCATTTGTAGAGGTTTGGGACGGCTGTATCTTACTAAACTCAATTAACATGAATGACGAACGGTGTAATGTGGCCATTTTGTCCGGCACGCTTGCTGTCCGAAGGCCTTCATACGCCAGGCTTTATTTAAGAGCGCAGCATCAGTCATGTGTGGCCTGCCCTGAGGAGAACTCACGGTGAAGCTGCCAAGTTAAACTTCACTCCAGGAGCAGCTCTACATAACATTCAAAAGCAAATTACTGAACAAATGCATTTAGGGTCACAATTGAAGTGACAAAGGGAACTGTTAAAGGCTCTGTGGTGGCTATCACACAGCCCATTTAAGGGCCGAGTGGAAACGTGCTAAAGAGGCGTGAAAGTGTATTTGCAAAATAAAAGCAAAGTCATTCTGGCAATTCTACTGATGAATCATTACCGAGGGCATTGTGGAGGTCAACGAAATGGTAAATGACTTGGATCAGGGAATCAATCCATCCATCTATCTATTCATCTATCACAAGCATTTATTTATTTTTATAAAAGTTGGCTTATCAAGCAGAATAAAAAAAAAGAATGTTAAGTAATAAGATACTGCTGGTAGAGAACAGAACAGAGACGCGCACACACAACACACGAAGGGTGTTTCAAGTGTCAATTGATGCGGACTTATTGATCGAGCAAATCAGCGCTGCTCAGCCTTTTAAGACCGCAGAATCAGGTTTGATGCGAAAAAGCTGTCTTTGAACTGATAGAAGCAATAAGCAATTCATCAGGATATTTATCAACGCATCCTGAATCAATTGTTCATTATTGCGCATTTGGCACAAACGGTTTCCAACAACAAGCAACAACACTTAATAGGCCTACTAAAGATATTGCCCGTCGGTACGAATTTAGACTTACAAACCATGAAATCAAGAAATAGCATGAAATTGTAAATAATTAAAACAAATTATGAACATGAAATCTCACTTATTGTCATTATTGTTATCGTTATTGTTATTATTATTATTATTGGTCAACTTACTATAACGTGTACATACATTTACAAATAAAGTCAATACATTTTTTTATACTTATAACATTGTTAACATTTTCAAACTGTCTTTTGTTAGTAGTGCATTT